CTGTCAAATAAATAAATACATAAACAATTCAATGAGTTAAGAAGGGCTATCCCTAAATAAGAAAAATGATTGTTGGAAAGTTATTTCCAAGCAGACTATTTCTGTGCATTTATTCTTAATTGCCCTCTGCTATAGGTTTCATTACCCTGCCAGCTAGAAATGACAACTTGACAACTCTGTTGTTTCTCTAGGTTAATTTTATCTCAGTTGTTGAATACTCAAACCTCATTAACTTGCTGCCAGGCCTCCAGAACTGCATGGATTGCTGTCTGCAAATACAAGCAAGTAATAAGTAGTTTTACATTAATTTTATTGTTCTGATGAGTTTAAGGGGAAAAAAACACAACTGGACATTGGAAAACGAAGCAGTTATTCTGGGTACTTGAGTCAGTACTTAATATATGGGTAATATTTGAGAGTGATTTTTTCACATATAATAGATTTTTGTTCAGCTAAAGGAACTGAGTACATTTTAAAGTCACTCAAAAATTTTGGTCTTTATCTGGTCTATTTCTTTTTTGTTGTTGTTGTTTTACTTTAGAGCAGCTGGATTATTAGAGTTTCTTCTGTTGCTAAATCATACGTCACATATGTATCAGTAAAAATAATCTAACCTGGCAACAAGTGTTCTGTAGTGGAGTACATGTGCCCAAATAAGTCTGTGTTTATGCTCAAGGGGATCCTCAATATTATTCTATACTCTTTTGCAATTGCTCCTGAAAGTCAAGTCAGAGTTAAGTTTTTATATAGCAACCAAAAGTGACTGAAAATGTATCCATGACTGGCAAAGGTGGAATGTGGCTGTGCTTTATTTGCCTTACTACATCAACAGAAGGAAGAAGTAAAAAACCTCCAGTAAAAGCTTGAAGGTGAAGCATCCCAGGAGATTTAACAAGACTTATCACACAGCACAAAATAATCATTTGGATGACTCCTTCCCTTTCTCCATGGATGTGTTCATCTCTCCAGTGCCTATTGTACAGTATATAAAGTAGCAAACCCTACAGACACCTCCCCCTTGAATATTATTTGGAATTAAATGAATTTCAAAAGAAAGTAACTTTCAACTTTAGTTCCTGTGTATAGACTAACCATGCCATAAATTTTAGTTGTCAGTTTGAATACAATATAATTTGGTGATATTACCAGGTGTTTTTCTCCATTAGCATCATGTTGGCTGGTGAAAGCAGAGCCATGAATGACATTATAAGCCATCATCAGTACATTTATTTTGGTTTGTTTAATATAGAGAAACTAAAATAAAAATAAAATAAAATAAAATAAAGAAAATCTTTATACTGGAACTCTTAAACTTGCATTTCAACCACTCTAGTAACTATGGACTAGGAGTCTTGTCCCTAAGTCACAAAAACTACAAGAAGATCACAGATAATATTTAGGAAGAAATTATGGGGAGGGAGAAGGGAAGTATGTGTCCTCATCTCCAACTTTTTTCCTGATCAGGATTGAGGTGCCTTGGCAGGACAGTAAAAGAAAGCTCCAATATTTTACTGCTGAACTGTACATGTCAATGGCTACAAACAACACATCAGCCATCAAGGCTGTAAATCCAGCACTTATGCAGTAAAGGGAACAACCACATATTCACATTTTGTTTCCAAGGTGATGATAAAAGATATCAAAGCTTTCCCCTAAATAAATCAAGATATCCTTGTGAAATCTGTAAGTGTAATAAGTAACACTTAAATCTTTTGGTGACATTCAAAAGAATTCTATAAGAGGTGATTCTATAGTCTCAAGAATTCAGATTTCTGCTGTGCTGGAGTTCTACAGGTTAAAATCACCTAGGGTAGCCTAGATGTTGAACCGAAGAAGAAGCTCCAATGCTGAGCAGTGCTGACTGCCCCAGGGGGCTTGCTTCATGTCCAGCAGCATGGATTTGATTTTTGTTTTCCCTTATCTTTTGACCTTCTGAATGAAATGGAATTTTTATAGTGCAAAGTCTTTATCTTTGATTTAATCTTGCTTCATGCCATTAAGGTAGAGTTTACACCAAATAATATAAACACATAGAGGGGTCAGAGCTTTCCAACTTAGTCTATGTTTGATTACACTGTAATCGTTCTTTGTTGCAATAGCTACTTCTTTATTTGCAGCGGTCTTGATATGATAGCACTGCTGTTATGTAAGAAGTGTCTTCAATGGTCTATAACAATTATAAGTGTAACTTTACAGGTGGTTCATAAGCATTCTTAATCCCATCATGTACACAAGCACAGACTTGTGGAAATGACGATTTTCAGATATGATTGGCTAATATTAAGCAATTTAGAGTCAGATTTTTCAGACAAGGTGAACATCTACAGATTTTTCTTAATAGCAAAATGTCTCTATTTGACTGACACTATCCAGCAAAGCCACACTTACTGAAATACCTCCTTTCTTCAGGACTATGTGCATTTTCACAGTACTTTTTATACCGCATATAGGCAGAGATGCCAGCTTTCTTATAAAAGTGGATCTGTAAGTAGGATGTTAATTAGGTACACAAATATATCTTGTTCTTAATATCCACTTTGTAAGTATGTCCCAAGAAACAGAATAAAGGTTGAGACATATAATACATATAATAAAAGGCATGGACACAGCAGGAAAGAAAGACTTATGGCAATATGTATGAAGAACCTTTCTTGACAAAAGAAATAAATGGCATATGTAGTTTGGAAACCTGAGTAGGGACAGTTTAGATGAAGAAGAAAGATAGGCAAATTAAAATCTAAAAAGCACTAAAAATTGGTATAGACCTCCTAGACAAGATTTAAAAAGAAAAAAAGGAAGATAAGGAAAACCTATAAAAAGGATAAATCATTAATCTTTGGAAATTCAATTAGTTAATATTGACTGGGCTGGCAGTTATGGATTTGATAAGAAAAGGTACCTCTTCCTGGAAGTAATACAGGACTCCTTTCTGATACATTTTTCAGGCTATCCAGTAAAAGTACAGGCTATTTTGTACTTACTCCTCTTGCTGGGAAATAAAACCAGGATGATAAATAAGATAAAAGTTGAGAGTCATCTAAAGTTTAGTGACCACAATGTTGTCAGAACTTCAGGTGCCCTTGAGGTTATAAATGTGAAAAGCAATCTCAAAATCACTGAATTTTAAAATATAAATAAATAAAAATAGAGAGTGAGTGAATGTGGACTGACTTGAAAAAAAATTGATTAAAATCAATTTTGGTTTGGGGAATTTAGTATGAAAAACTAACTAAATAGCACAGAAGTAGCCCTGACAGCTGACCCTCATGAGGCCTTGTTTCATGAGAAATGGTTGGATTTTTATTTTCCTGTACAGTGTATTTTGGAAATCATTTGTGTGGTCTCTTGGGAAATATACCAGTCATACAATTCTTTCTCATGAAAGCCTTTATTGCTTCAGAAGACCCTGTTTACTTACTCTGATGTTTGAAATGAGACATTTCAGTTTGAAGGAGAGAGATTACAATAAAGAACGATACTTCTAGAAAAACAGGAACAAAAAGGTGCATTCAGTGAAAACATTAATTACTTTGCAGATGTTCCTGTTAGAGTAGGATTAATTTTATTGTCACAAAAAAACCACTGCAACCATCTTGAGTTACATGAAATGAACAGCTTGAGAAAAGTATTAAACTGAGCAGATCATTGAAGTCAAGGGGGGATTCTCTTCAAAAGAAAGGTATCATAATTTCATAGGACAGGAAGGCTGATGTTTGTCAGGGCTTGTCTAGATTAAAAACATCATTTGTTGCGATTTTTTATTTAGCTTTGTCACTTTGGTCTTCACTGGTCTCAGTAAGAGCTATTTTTTAGGAATGTGTAATATTGCAGACTGCAGGTAGTAGAGTCAAAATTTCTTTTTTTCCTTCAGTCCTACAAAGCAACTGCAATAACTAAAGACATGCTGTGTTCCACCTTTTAAGACAATACTTCCCAGTGTTCTGATCTGCATGTAACCAATAGCTCAGCAGTTTAAGTACTTTCATGAACCACTGGAAAATTGTGCTCTATCTCACTAATGATGAAGGAATTGAACTCTAAGGCCTCTTGGTTTGAGTGAATGAATACCTGTGTCACTGAGGTATTGATTAGAAATATCAAAGATTAATTTCTAGACATTCAAAAAATTCTCTGGAAGCAGCTTTTTCTTTGTGAAGTGTTTGAAGTGAAAATAACCTTTAAGATCATATGAATTTTTTATATAACATGTATTTTTCCTGTTTGTGGCTTATGTTTAAGAAGCAGTATATAGCACTTTAATAAAATCAGTTGTCCTGACACCCCTGTGCACACATCCTCCCTTCTTTTTAGGAACAGTAGGGTGGGATAGTTTTGTTAGGGGTTTTGACTCAAGTGTTGAATGGAAGAATCAATTAATCCACTAAATCTAAAGGGCTGCCACCCCACTGATCTAGAGAACATGGAATGGAGTGAGAGTATGCTACTGGTTTTATCTGTTACTTTATATTCCAAATATTTAAAGCATGTTCTTTACATTTAAGACAAATGTAAGTTTTATTTAGCCAAATGGTTTCCCGGTAACAATAGTGTTATGGTTTCTTTCACAGACCAAAAGTTTCCTGCTGTGAGCCCTTTTCTTATTTCATAATGTCTGAACCTGGAACTTTGGCCTCTTAACCTACAGTGACAGCTGAGGAATTTCACATTGCAAATTACATCAGCTTCAGATTCAGTGTTTGGCAGGACATTAATGTACACATATCTCAAGAAGCTTGCTTTTGCAACATACTTTACAGAAGTTTGACAAGGCTATTCTGAATAGGAATAGCCTACTTGTTGAGGAAGAGCAGTTCATGTATAGGGCTCAGGAAACAAACATCTAGTCCTATTTCCTTATGGTAAACTGATGGTTAAGACATAAATTCCAATCAGACACTGTCAAAATAGATAAGATATTCTTAATAACATTTTGAACATTTTAGTTTTCATGTCTAGTGAACA